AATGCACAGGCATGCTTTCTCTCTGGGCTCATCCATAGAGGGGAAAACCAGGTTGGCCACAAATAAAAGCCTACTTAGTGACTTTCTCTTGTGTGTCATAACTTCTCGATGATGGGCCACAGGTACATGAATCCTGGGAGTGAGAGGAACCTCTGCAGTGTCCCCACTACACTGAATACAGTGGTTAAGGCAGCCGCCTACCGCCCCGCAGCAGGGTTCAGATCTGAGTCAATAGTTGTTCCCCCAGTGTCTAGCCACAGCACTGGCATTTTTTTAATCAATAAAGGAATCTCAATGGCTTAAATTATAGACTCCAGACACACACAAAGAGGTACAATGTAGCCAGCTTTTCTCTGTATCTGATACAACTTAATTGATAGCCAATTGAAAATTCAGAAGGCACAGACTCAGAAAATGACTAAAATAAAAAATATCATTAACATCAACTGCTGGTGAGGATGGGAGCAACTGCATCTCTCATAATTGCTGGTGGGAATGGAAAATGGGACAGCCACTCTGGAAAGTTGTTTGACAGTTTCTAGAACGAAATAGGCACCTTCCACATGACCTCACAATAGCACTTTTGAGCAGTCATCTCAGAGAAATGAATTATGCTAACACAAAACCCTGCACATGCATGTTCATAGCCTCTTTACGTGTAAAAGCCCACAGGTGGACACAACCCAAATGTCCTTCAACAGATGAAGGATTAAATAAACTCTAATGTGTCTATACCATGGAATACTACTTGGCCACAAAAAGGAACAAACTACTGATCCATGCAACAATGTGGCTGTACTTATAAAGACATTACAATTAATGGCAAAGGCCAGTCTCAAAAGGTTAAATACTGTATGATTCCATTTTATATAGCATTCTCTAGATGGCAAAATTACATAGATTGAGAACAGATTAGTGGTTGCCAGATGACAGGGACTGGGGTGGTAGAGTAGGCTGACTTCACAGGGGTGGCACAAGGGAGTTTCTTTGTGGTGATGGTCAGTCCCACATTCTGACTGTGGTAGTGGTTACACTGACCTATGCATGGAGTCAAATTGCATAGAATTACACACACACACACATACACATAACGCATGAGTGAAGGAAAAAGGGATGAAAACAGAGTAAAATCTGTAGTCTAGTTAACAGCATTGTACCAGTGTTCTTGACATTATACTGAAGTCATATTGGGGAAAGCTGTGTGAACTGTTTAACAAACTCTATATATTTTTGTCTATGTCATTTCAAAATCTGTTTTCTCTAGTCATTCAAAAATATATTTTCCTCTCAACCTCATGTACCCATTGTTTGTGACATTTAACCATAAGTTTGGTGAATGAACTGAAAGAGCAGGAGGACGAAGCGAGGCAGGGCTCCTCCCTGCCCTTTTGCTTTACATCTCTGTTTTTAAGGGGATCAGAAAACAAAAGCATTTGGTATTCTGCCAATTGTTAATGAAGACTGTCTTGTAAAAATAAAAATGCTTTGGAAAAGGACATTGGGTCACATCTTATCATGTCTGCTCTCAGAAACCGTCACAGCTCTGTTACCTATAAAATTAAGTCATGTTCTTCGTCTGAGCATTAAAGACCTCCTACAATAAGTATGTCCCCAACTTAACTTTTCATCTCTATCTTCCTCTATTGCTTATGACCCACTGTTCTCTACACCAGAACCTGAGTTGGCTTTAAAACCCTAATTTGGCTTCCATCAGCACTGAGACTAAAGATGCCAGCCCTTGACTGGCCATCAAGACTCATGGAGTCCCTGCCTCCTTCTCCAGACCATTTTGTATTGTTCCCCTCTTTGCTCTCTCTGTGCCCAACCATGTGACCTTGTCCCTAACCCCATCCTTGCCACCGTTCTTCCCACTAGAGGGTCTTCCTTGCTTGGACTTCTTTCCCTCCCAACTCACCTTCTATCACTCTTTTAGAACTCAGCTTCATCATCAGTTGTTTAAGAAAATCTTCCCCAACACCCCAATTTTTGGTCAGGCTGTTGTGACAAACATTGTCAGAGAACTGTTTAGAACACATCCTTGATTACGATTAAACATCCACTCATTTGGTTATTTGACCAAAGGCTGCCTTCCTCATTTGCCTAGAAACTCCATGAGAATATGGACCATATCTATTTTGCCCACAAGTTTGTTCACCACTTAATACACTGTCTTGTACATAGAAATATTCAGTAATTACTTTTTTAGTAAATGGATGAAGCAAACTGGAATAAGTGCTTTTTAGTTATATTCCTTGGTTTCCTCCCCTAAGTTAAACCCACATTTTATCCAATCTTGTAGTCTAATCCAAATGGATACTTTCTTGCCTTTGGAAATAAACACCATCTCTGCCTCCTTTGGAAATTGTAGCACTTCTTGACGTAATTGGTGTTGCTATCAATAGACTGTGCCTTTTATCACCATTAGAAATTCATAAGCTCCTGGAGGGCAAGGCTTATTCATTTCTCTTTACATTACTTGCAATAACTATTGCATTTCTCAGAATCTTAATTAATGTATTTTCCTTATTGATTAATATGAATGAAAACTAAAGGCTGAGCACACATTATGTGCTCAATTAATATTTATAGAAACAAGGGAAAATCATTATTGGTCTTGTTAGTTTCACCAATTTGCAACAGAATTAAATTACTAAGCATGGTATAGACATGGTTCCCAGAACAAATGCCTTCTATTTTGACAATTTATTATTATTTACTAGGCTTATTTGTTTGGGTGACAAAATCATTCTAGAATTGTTAGATTCAGCTTGTTTTTCTACTTTCTCCTGTCCCTTTGTAAGTTACAAAGACCAACTGCTATTTCAGTGGAATTATTACATTTTCTCTCACTATAGAATTAAAATAAACTTTTTCATAGAATATAGCACTAAATAGGGTGTCAAACTGTTAAATTGAGAGAGATGGCAGGATGGATTAGGGTGGTGGTGTATAACATGGGTGGAACTAAACACCTGGGGACCAGTTATTAAGAATAAATTGTCACCATTCACAAAAAAGAACTGAGCGATTGAAAAATTGAAAAAAAATTTTTGGTAAAAACACTATAGAACTTAAGCAACAGCAATTGGTTGTGATTTTTCAATGCTTAACAGAAAAAAAACAAAAGTCAGCTGTATTTCCGAAGGTAGAAGTCTCCTCATTCTGCCCAGACCCTTTTATAATTTTTGACTCAGGGCTAATGGGCCCAGTTCTGCCATAAAACCGACACCTCCCTTCCTTCTCCCATAGTATCTGTATAGATATTCCAGAGGCCTTCACATTTAGGAAGAGAACTTTTGGGAGTGCCTATGCCCCAAAATACTAGAAATCAATGCAATTTGATTAACCTCTTTAAGCATGTATTGAGTACCTTTTATGTACAGGGTTCCCTGTAGGTACTAAGATTCAAAGGTAAACAAGAAATCATCTTTGAGTGAAAGAACTCACATTTTGGTGGAGCAGATGGGAATATTCAAACGTTTTTCTTAGGTAATAGAGACTATGGTGACAGAACTAAAAGACAAAGTGCCATGCAGACATAGGAGAGAGACTATTGTCACTGTGGGGTTTATTGAAGTAAGGTGAGAGCTCAGCTGGGTGTAAGGCATGGTGGTCGCTTCCCCAGCATCCATTCACCTCACCTCGTCTTCAGTAGGTGACAGATAATGATTGGGTGGGCCTGATCCTACCCTGATTCCAGGAGTAAATGCTTATTGGTGAGTCAATGATTCTCAACCAGAGATGGTGCCTTCCTGTTAGGGGTTATTTAGAAATCCATGGGGATGCTTCTGGTTGTTGCAAAGGCTGAAAAAGATGTGATTGGCATTTATTGTGTAGGGGTTGGAATGTTAAATGACCAATAAAATAGGAAAGGAACTCAAACCAAGAATATCATTGTGCTCAAAATGTCAGCATTACTCCTATTGAAAAACATTTGTCTAAATCAATCAGAGAAATCTCATCCTTTATTGGTTCAGAGTCCAGGTCTAAGCCAATTAGCTCACAGCACTCCCCTGATATTGGTGTGGTCTAATCAGAATAGATCTTCTGGAGTTTTCTTCAAGCTGTCTGTTTCTTTCTGTCAAGGCATGCAGGAAGAAGCAAGTAGCCCCATCTAAATCTGGTTTAGACAGCTTGCCAGGCAATCTATATAATCTAAATTTATTCAGTTGGTTTGCTTGCTTGTCTCTTCATTTTTTATTGTTGTTTTTAAGAAAACTATTAGGACAGCAGGAATGTAATTGAAGTATCAAGTCTAGGCAAAATTTAATATGTGAACATTATTTTGCTTTCATCCTGGATTTGGAATGAGTATGAAATTCATAATATTGCCACAAAAAGAGAAATGAGGGTGAAACAAAAATAGTCAAGATTCTAACTTACGGTGTAATGTGATGTCTGGCAAAAATTATGAAAACCTAAGTTAAACTTGCAATTGTGTGTGTTTGTGTGTGTGCACGTGCATGCGTGTAAGTAAAAGAAAAAGAGAGGGAGGGAGGACACACTAGCTGTTTTCAAGCAAAACAAATATTATGAATTTAGATCTTGTCTCTTTAGGAAAAATTCTGTCCTTTCAGGTTGAAACATCTTCACATTAAGGAGAGCTAAAAGATAAGATTATTAGGCACTTTGATTACTTAATCAAAGTCAATTAACATATTCTAAAATGTTACAAATTGTAATTAAAAGAGATTTATTTTTATGCTTATTGGTAATTCTCCTGCTGACATAAAATTAGCTGGCAGTATTCATAGCTACAAAACATTTTCCTACATTGTCACTGGTTATTGTGGTGCATTAAGAATGAAGAGGAAAAAGATGTCCAATTACATGTGAATTAAGAAAAATTAAAGCACAGAAATAAATTGCAAGTTAATTTTTATATAGCCAATTTACCTCTTGTTGCAAAACTTTTAGAATAGTATTCCAATTCCCCAAACTGAAAGTAAATTACATCTAGAAGCTGAGGTATTCAAGAAGGAAAGAAGAGCGGTGACTACCTGGACACTGGTCAGAGTTGTGTACTGGTAGGCCTTGACCACCAGATAATTTGCTTCCAGGTCTATGAGTCCCAGGATCATATATTTCCACCATCTTTGTCGTAAAATTGCCAGGAGGTTTTCTTCTCCTGTGTTAAGAAGTTGAGAAGAAATGGGTTAGGTTCTGAACACACAGTAAACCACTTATTTAGAAGGATTCTAAAATACCATACTAGTGTATTTTTTACTGTACCTTATCAAATGTTTAAACAAATGAATCAATGTGTCAAAGACTGACATGTTTCTTACTTAGCTAATAGTCTTCATGTAGATTTCAGTGCTTCAAATTGGTTTCTATGCCAGAAGAAGACTGGGCAGGTTTTTAGTTCACAATGTAGAACATTTTCTCTTGAACATTTAAAGAAAAAAAGTTCTATCATGCTTAAAAAAATAAAAAGAAAGATGTGCCAGGGAAGCTGCATAAACACACAAAGTTCAAACCATCTTGAACCTCAGGACTGTGGTACAATAGAAAGACATGAAAAAGGGTAGCCCAATGGACAAAGGCCTATGCTTGGCAGCAGATCTGTAGTAAGGCTCCAAGATGCTATCCTGAGTGCTCATTCAGCTTTGAATGTGACATTCTGGTGGTGTATGGGTGATGGGCAGAGAAAGGAAATTGGGGATAATTCTCAGATGGAAAAGAGTGCTACAAGACCATAGGTTTAACACAGCTAAAAACAATAATCTTCACCATCTTGCCTCTTAAATTGACAGCATTCGAATGACTTCAAATCCCTTAATTCTTCATCATTATTTTTACATATCTCAGTCCTGAAGTAAACCTTATTTCTCAAGGGGAAATCATGATTATTAATATTAGCTCTCTGGAGCCAATCTGTGAGGTCTTCAAAGAGGATGTGGAATATGCACCTGAATGTATGGTGACTATATTCATTATCTATTGCTATATAATAAACTATCCTAAAACATATCTGCTTAAAACAACAAAATTTATTATCTCATAGTTTTTGTGGGTCAAGAATCTGGACAGAGCTTAACTTAGTGCCTCTGGTTCAAGGTCTCTCATTAAGTTGTAGTTGAGTTGTCAGCCAAGGATGCAGTCTAATCTGAAGGATTGACTGGGGAGAGATCTGCTCCTAAACTTTTCACATGATTGGCGGGCCTCCATTCCTCCCACCATAGGCCCCACCACAAGGTGGCTTGAAAACATGGCAGCTGGTTTTGCCCAGGATGAGCAATTTGTAAGAGAGAGAGAGAACTCAAGATGGAAACCACAATCTCTTTTATAATGTAGTGTGTCAGAAATGATACTTTTACCCTAGTCTATTCTTTAGGAGAGAGTAAATCCAGCCCAAGGGAGAGACTTTCATAAGAGTGTGACCACGAAGAGGCAGAGATCACCAGAGGCCATGTTAGGGACTAGCTGCCTAGTGCTGGTCCTCTAGAACCCCAACAGACTTCATTCACATCCTTACCTGTCTCTGGGTCACTCTCAGGACTCTGAACTCATGATTTCTGCCTTGGTCTTATTCTAATGACCGTTGCATGAGATAGTCTTTTCAACCTTATAAAGAAAGAAATGTAAAAACAAAGCTTTCCAGCCATAGAGAATGTCAGACTGTCAGTGTGTCTAGTTGACAACAAAAAAGGAGAGGGTTCTCAACCTCTGGTAGCTGACCCAATGTTCTAGCCTCATTTTGGATGCCACACTTCCCATATCCTTTGTTTCAAGCACACTAAAAATCCTTCTGTCTCAGTGAATTGCTAACTCCTGCTCATCCTTGAAAATTTAGCTATCCTCTGCTATTTTGCCCAATACCACTCCCCAGCTGGGCAACATGTGCCCAGCTCTGTGTAGTTCTTACACATGACTGTGATTACCTAGGAATTGTCTCTTCACTAAACTGGGAGTTTTTTTGATGGTAAGACATAAAGTGTCTTATCATATATTTAACCACAGCACCACACTGACATTCTAGTAAGGGTTAGCTGAGTCCTTTGCGATGAACAAATAGCTGAACTGAAAAGTGTAAAGTGCTATCTGAATATGTCAAGAGTCAGTTTTAGAATATGAGTCACACTTCGGATTGTTTTGCACTTAGATTCATAGCTGGCACATATCATCCCCAAGGTCATTACAGCCAGCTTGTTTTGGCAATGCCCTTGCACAGCATTTCTGATTTCTCACTTGTCTACACATTTGATAAATCAATGCACCTCTCAAGATCTAAATTGTAAATCAGTGATCATCAACCTGAGTATTCACCTCGTGGGAGATTTAAAAAAATCTGAATGCTTGGGATCAGCCTCCATAAATTCTGATTCAGTAGGTTTTAGGGCCTGGACCTTGGACTGAGGATCAAATCTAGGACTTTCAGATGGTTGATGCCCAATGGCCACCCTCAGAATGACTTGAGCTAGGAATATCAAAGAGATATAACCACAGAGTAGTAAAGACTCTTTAGACCAAAGAAATAACCTGAACACTTGGCCCAAAATATGCTCTCTCTTGTCTTTTATTGTTTCTTGTCTTTTCCTGTGCTGAATCCTCTGCTTGAACTATCCTTTCTCCAGTGTCCAAATGAAGGATCAGCATAGACACTACCACCAGGAAGCCTTCTTTGATCTCTCACCTTGATCTTCCTATGGTTGCCTGTAATGAACTTATGCCACATATAGTACTTATCTCACTGTATTAAAATGACCTGTTTTCTTGACTCTTACTCCTTAGATTATTAACAATTTGGAGAGAGTGGCACTGTCTTTGTTGACACTTTAGAACCGAAAGTACATGGTACGCAGTCAATAAATAATATAGAATGTATGAATAAATTTCATGGTTAATAATCTCGGCAGTGCTAAATAGCTTTGAAATTAGGTACTTAAAATATATCCACTATAAACATTCTTGTTCTAGACCATGAAAATTGTTTTCTAGTTAGAATGTAGGCATCTGACAAAATTAATTTGGTTACCATTTTATAAGTAATATACTACATCAAAGATATAAAAACAAGGACTAATAAACTGCAAAGCTGCAATTCTATAGTCACATGTCATTGTCCCAGTTAATGTACACAATGAACAGAGAATTGCCAACCTCTCAGCATGTCAGCTACATCTCAATATCTAACACTGAAACTAAAATCTGGGTCATAGTGCTGTTTGTTCCACAAATCAATAGCATATTCAAAGTGTGATTCATGACATAGATTTAAAGTAATGATTAGCTGCCTTGCTAATCTGCTGAAGAACCTTGCAAAGCAAAAGACCTTAAATAAATGTTCCATATTGTTTCATCTGAAGCATCTGAAAACATACAACACACGTGGTTAGCAGAATTACCCAGGAAGGCAAGAGCTCTTTTTTATTTTTGGCTGTGAGCAAAAAATGCAGCCCCAAAAAGGAGTACTTAGGGATTTATCTACATGATTCTCATTAACACTGATGTACAATAGGCCATTAAAATTCTTTCTAGAACAATGGAAATGCATTCTTTAGAGTCCTTGTGCCAAAAAACACCAGCACAATTGATGGTATGTTAATGCTTTGAAAAAAAAATGTTTCTAATTAACTAGGAGTAATAAAATCCATGGTGAAAACTTCAGAATTATGGCTTGACATTTAAATGTATTCTGTTAATTATTATTTTTATTATCAATATGTTCAAATATAAATAAAATAGATTAGAAAATGTAATAAAAGAAACTCCAACCTGATTTAATAAATGGTAATATTTTGTCATATTTGCTTCAGATTTTTTTGGATGGGAAGAAAATGTTACGCTAAAACTGAGGCCCCCTTTCTGCTCCTGCCATGTTTCACTCCCTCTCCTCTTTCCTCAAATCATTTTGATACTGTTGTGTATCCTTCGTGTTCATGTTTTTGTTACACATTCTCTACATGTGTACCTATCGAAAATAGCATATAACTTTCTTTGGCATGTTTTACAACTTAAATGAAAGTTTATTGTATCTACTGTGTGTGTCCTTCTTCTTTTTATGTTTAACACTATTTTGGAAATGTATCCTTGTTGCTTCATGTGGAGTTAAGTCACTTATTTTAGACAATGTATATTAATACAGTTTATGAATATGCCACAATTTATCCAGTCTCCCACTAATAGATACCTAAGGTGTTTCCAGTTTTTCTCTATTAGGGACAGTGCAGCAAAGAACATCCCGCACAAGTGTGTCTCTATAATTGTTATAGAGCTTTGTTTTCATTTTCTTTTTAAAGGGCTGAGGAGTATGCAAGTATTGACAAACACGTAAAACATAATTAAAGAAAGTTATGCTAATTAGAAGTAATAGAATCCCAGCAACAAGAACTACTCCAATAACTGAGAACAGAGAGGGAAATTACTGACAATCTTGATCATGTGATTCATATCTAATTTTACTAACCATCAACAGGATTATCAATCAAATATATTTTTGAATTTTTTAAACAAATTTTATATGATACTTACTATTATCAGGCAGTGTGTCTACATGCTTTGCAAATATCAATGCACCTAATCCTAACAATAACTCTATTCAGTAGATATTGCTATTAACCCTATTTACAGATGGCCTGGAGGAGTTAAGTAACTTGCCCAAAAAGTCACACACATAAGCCAGAACTGGAACTGCTGACAGTCAGGCACTAGGCTGTATATTCATTGCTATTGTGCTATTTTGTCTCACTGATTTGTAATTGTAGCATTGTTCTCAGGAGTCATCCATGTCTCATTAAAGGAGCTTTATGATCTACCTGTCCAAAACACCTGCAGGGTGCCCAACTGCCAACTCCAGGGCGTGCCCATCACACTGAGGCTGGCATGCATGGTGTCCCTGGAGCTGCCAGTACCCAGTAGAGCCACTGTGTCCAAGCCCTGAATCCGCTTAAGAATGAGGGTGTGTCTCACCGTCATCAGTTCAGTATCAAGGATTTGATGTCTCTCTACCTAATCTAAGTATATAACAAGTTTCCCTGGTGAAATGGAAAATAAAGCTTTAAATCAATTTTATGGCTTAAAAAATCTAATTATAAGAATTACTGTTAGCATGGTGGACTACTCACTCTAGCCTGGGGCATAATAATAATGGTTGCACATGGGGTGGGGTAAGGGTGGTGGGGATTA